ATGGCAAATCAGGCGATATCTGCATTAGCAATTTGGAGTCATTTAGTTCACTACAAGTCAATGTCGAAAAAACAAAAGAAATGCTCTTTCGCCCAAAACATAAGCTAGTCACAGTTACAAGAGATATCGTTTTAAACTCCTAAAAAATAATGATTGTAAACTCTTCCAAACTCTTAAGCGTCATTTTTACTGAGAATATGTCATAGGACAGTCATGTCAACTACCTTATTTATAAGCTGTCACAAGTAGTATAGACGTGATCAACCGCCACTGGTGCATGTTACCAGCAAAGGTAAAATTAATGATATACAATTCGTTATATTACTCCCACATAAACTACTGTAATTTAGTCTAGGGTACGCACTACAACGTCAACGAATCTAGAAAAAATACACTTATTGCAAAAAGAAGAAGCGTTTAGGGCTATAGAAGACGTTCCATTTGATTTATACACAGCTAGTTTATTTAAGCAGTTTCGTGTTATCAATATACATGCTCTGTTTAGCTATAGACTTCTCACTAGTCCAAAACTAGAACAAATTAGGGGTGCAAACTTTTTGATAAACCTTATAGAGCTCTCTGAAAATATTCAAGCGTGTCCTACCCGTCGTGCGGAATGTTGGGAGGTGGCCACTGCAAGAACGAACTATGGCACACAAATGCTTAAACATAGTATCCCAAAAATACTTAACTTACCTGAAGATAAAACATTTGGAATTCAGTATACATTGCCTCTTAGAGAAATTTGAATAATTTTTTCCACAAATGAATCTGAGTATGAAATAAACTTTTGGGGTCTCATAACTTCTGTTTACAAATGGGTCACTTTCCTGTTATAGCCGATGATAGAATATATTATGGTCGAAACACGCTTTGTTAAATTGTGGTAATCAAGGTTGGCGAATGTTTTTTTTTGTTTCGTCGACTTGTCAAGGATTTGTCAAACTGTGTCGTACAGCTTTTTTCCTTGATTGCCACCATCAACGTACGATAGAAATAAACTCTTTATTATTAATTTTTGTCAAAAGCACGTAATTCTGATCAGTGCTCAAGGTGTGCTTGAGTGCAGCGCCACTCGTTGCTTAAAGCGTAGTTGTTTTTACTGTTCATTTAATATTACTTACATCACTGACATTTTTTTATATTATCACCATGTGTTCGTTTTATTACGCTCGCTTTGGTTTGATTGAACTGTGTATTTTAGTGAGGATAGTTTGTTATACTTGGCCTTGAAATTGCGATCCTTCACCCCACAAGTGCTTCGAAATATCCGTTCTCTATATATTTGAGATCTGGTTCCGCATCCCATCAAATAAACATGAATGAAGGAATATTGCCTATTTTATTTATTCGCTCCCCCTTAGCTCCATGCCCCGTGCAAAACCGACTGCGTGTGCAGGGAGCCAGTGGGTCCCCGGGGGGGGGGGGGGGGGGGGGGTTTGGGGGGCCCCCGCTGCCTACTCCACTGCTAGCGGTTGTACAGCACTGACTATACATTGCCCATCTACAGCGAGTGACTCTTCGCAACTTTGAAATGGCTGACCAACTACACGCTGTATAAATATCCACACAACCCCAATTATTTTGTGATACCCAGAAACCCAATATAACTTTTAGGTATTTGGATTTTTGAACAAACCATCTACCTGGACAGGTTATTGGAAACCTTAAATCTAGTCTGAAAACCTGAAATCCAGATAGAATCCAATAACATTTATTGTAGTGACCAAGCAGAGACAGCAGCTCCAACAACAAGAAGGTTTATTTCAAGCGATAGCGCGGCTTAAATAGTTCAGCGCCGATGCTTATCGACGCTTAAGAGAAGGAAAGAGAAGGAAAGGCGCACGCTCGCCTGCCCGTTCTGCACGTCACCGCACGACGTCACTTGTCACGATATCACACCGCCGGCTTGTCGCTGGTCCTGCGCGTCACCGCACGACGTCACTTGGCACGATATCACATCCCTCCCCCCTAGTCATCTATGCCGTATCGGTGCACCGGGCGACGCTGGCGGGAAGAACGCCTCAATACGGGAGTCTCGACCGCAGGTGACCTCGCCCCCAGACTTGACGGGCCCGGAAGGGAAACCCCGGCCTCCAGAGGGCCAGGCTCCGAACCGGGCGTTCCCGGAAGGGCAAACGAAGCTGTTGTCCCGCCGGTTGGAGTTGTTGGTTCCCAGGCCCTTCGCACGTGGTTCCGGTGGCGTCGATGGATACTCCCGTCGGATGTCTGGACCTCGTACATGACGTGACCCCGACGCCGTAGCACACGAGCAGCCAACCACTTCGGACCTTGGCGAAAATTCCTTGCGTAGACAGAGTCACCGCACTGAAAGCTTTGTTCTGGAGGCTGCCGTTTGCACTCCACGTCCATCGCATCGGGGTGAAGTTTTGACAGGCCCGAGCGCAGGTTCCTGCCCAGCATAAGCTCAGCTGGGGTCTTGCCGGACTCCGAGTGTGGCGTGGAATGTTGCTTGAACAAGAAGCGAGACACCTTGCACGCTAGAGAGCCTTGCCTCTGCTTTCTCAGTGCACACTTTAGCTCCCGAACCATGCGTTCTGCTCTCCCATTACTCGCGGGGTGGTAGGGAGCAGTATACATGTACTCAATGCCGTTCAACTTCAAAAAGGACTGCATGTCCCGGCTGGTAAACGCCGTGCCATTATCTGAAACAATCAAATCTGGCAGTCCGTATGTTGCAAACATCTTACGCAGCCGCTCGATCACTGCAGATGAGTGCATTGACGTCATTATTTCCACCTCCGCCCAGTTTGAGAAAGCATCAACTGCGACTAGGAAAACCGCACCATCGACAGGACCCGCAAAATCGATATGCACTCGGCTCCATGCTCGCTCCGGTTTCGTCCAGAAATGCGTAGGCGCTTTCGGCTCACTTTGCCGGTTTTCCTGGCACGCCTTGCAGTGCCGCACAAATTCTTCGATCTGCGCATCCATCTTCGGCCACCAAACGTAGGACCTCGCGATAGCTTTCATTGCCGTCACTCCCGGGTGATTAGCATGTATCAAGATGAGGACACGTTTTTGCAGCACCTCAGGGATTACCACGCGGTTTCCCCAAACCACACAGTCACGATGCACGGACAGTTCGTTCTGCCTTATCTCGTACGCACCGTAGTCTTTCGGTACCCCTTCTTTTGGCCAGCCGTCGATGATCCATTTCCTTACTTCCGATAGCCGACTGTCTTGCGACGTGCAGCCAGCAACTTCTGCGGCGGTGACTGGCGGGTACTCAGCGGCTTCGAAAAGCAATACGTCGCCCGGCGTTTCTGCTTCCAACCGAAATGCTGGAACCGGAAGCCTGCTCAAGCAGTCAGCGTTCGCATGGTCCTGAGTTTTGCGGTAGTCAAGCTGGTATTCGTAGGCCGACAGCATTAGGCTCCATCGTAGCATGCGTGGTGACAGAACATCCGGTATTTGTTTCTCTCGCCGAAATATTCCTAGCAGCGGTTTGTGGTCCGTAAGAATAACAAATTTTCGCCCGGCTAGGTACTGATGAAAGTGACGCACTCCAAACACCACGGCTAATGCTTCTCGGTCTATTTGAGCATAATTCCGCTCAGCCTTTGTTAACGTCCTTGACGCATAGGCAATGGGTTGCTCCTTTGCCGTCTCGTCACAGTGAGCGAGTACAGCACCCACACCCACCGGAGACGCATCACAGGAGAGTATCAACGGAGCACTTTCGTTAAAATGAACAAGCAAGGACTGCGATGTTAACAATTTTTTTAAGCCTTCAAACGCCCGTTGGTGCTCTTCGTCCCATTTCCAGGTAGCATTGTCATCAAGTAAACGGTGCAGCTTCTCGGCTATTTCGGATCTGCCCCGCAAAAAAATGTTGTAAAAATTCACCATACCCAAGAAGGACTGGAGTTCCTTCTTGTTAGTTGGGGACGGGGCTTTATGGATGGCCTCGACTTTCACCTCGGAAGGGTAGATGCCACACTTATCGATGCGATGACCCAGGAACTCGAGGCTTTCCTGAAACAACTCGCATTTGTTTGCTTGCACTCTGAGTCCAGCCTTATCTAGGCGTTCGAATACATCCGTGAGCATGCGTTCATGCTCCTTGGCCGTTTCGCTAACCACCAGGATATCGTCCAGGTACACAGCTATTTTAGGTAGCCCAGCAAGGATAGTGTCCATTGCCCTTTGAAACAGTCCTGGTGCCACAGATACGCCGTACGGTAGGCGGCGAACTTTGTAGAGCCCTTGTACGGTGTTTATCGTGAGCAGTTCGGCAGTTGTATCGTCGACCACAAGCTGCTGGTACGCCTGTGCCAGATCAAGCTTCGAGAAGAACCGCCCCTTTCCTAGCTTAGCGAAAAGCTCCTTGCTGGTGGGTAGAGGATACACATTGCTCTTTACTGCCTGGTTAACTGTGCTTCTATAGTCTCCGCAGATTCTAAGCGAGCCATCCTTTTTTCGCACCACAACAATGGGTGTTGCCCATTCGGAGTATTGGGTTGGCTCCAATATTCCTAACTGCACAAGCCTATTGAGCTCGGTCAGAACATCTTCTTTCAGCGCAAAAGGAATGTTCCGGCATTTCAGGAACTTTGGCAGGGCGCCGTCCTTCAGCTCGATGTGAATGGGCGGTAAAAACGCGCCAGGCAGAGACCCGCTGAACACCTGCGGAAATCGGGCAGCGAAAATCTCTCGGCTCCTGCTGACGGAATGAAGACCCATTACTTCTATCTTCAAAGGTCCGAACCAATCGCGGCCAAGCAAAGTGTTCCCGTCGTTCTTGACCACCAGCAGCGGCAACTCGGAATTTTGACCCTTGAACTTCACTGGCACCACGGCTTTTCCCAAAATCTCGATACCCTCTTTCGTCCAGGTGACCAACTGCGTGTCTGGCTCTTCCAGTTTTCCCCGCTTTGACACCACTAGTTTTTTAAACTCCCTCTGGCTGATAATAGATCGCGCAGCCCCAGAATCCACTTCCATTTTCACGTTCTCTCCGCCAATCTCGACCTCAACTATACGTACTTCGGTACAGCGCTTGCTACTTGGCCGATGCTGAATAGGCTGTCGTACTCGGTTCCTGTGTCACCCGTAGTCTGAGCAAGCTGATCCTGTGCTTGCGTCTTATTTGCTTTGCACGCTCTTTCTATGTGTCCTTTTCCTGAACACTTGAAGCACTTTGCATTTTTGAACCTGCACCGCACAGCTGCGTGGTTGCCTAAACACCGAAAGCAACGCCGCTCACCTTGCTCCCAGGTCCCCGCGACCCGTTGGCTTTCGTGGTTTTCCGAGTTCGGCATTTTAGCTCGCGAGCCTACTTCCGCGGTCATTTCTACCTGAGCTTCCGCTTCTCGTCGTCTTTCGCTTATAGCTTGGTGCTGCTTAGCTGTAGTCTCTGCCGTGACTGCGAGATCGTACGCTGCTTCGAAAGTCAGTTTCTTTTCTGCCAGGAGCCGTTGTTGTGCGACTCCGTCGGCTATTCCGAAAACCAGCCGGTCGCGCAGCATTTCAGTAAGCGGAAACTTATCCCCGCCGAACCCACAGTTTCCAGCTAACCTTCGCAACGCAGTGACGTAGTCGGCCACAGACTCGCCAAATTCCTGGTCCCGTTTCGAAAACACGTACCTCGAATACAGCTCGGACGGCTTTGGCTGAATGTGGTTCTGTACGGTGTCGATGAGGACCTGGTATTCCACGTTCGGCGGTCGTAGGGGCTTGACGAGCGTCGATATCAGGGAGTACGCTTCCTGCCCGCAGCAACTCAGCAGCACCGCCCTCTTGTCCACGGCCTCCAACACCTTGTTGACGGCACAGTACAGTTCGATGCGCTCGACGTATTCTTCCCATGTCGAATTTCCATGAACGTCAAACTCCGAAATGCGGCCACCCAACGCCATCACGCCTGTTTCCAGCGGCCCGCACGGGCCAGACCGTGCCTCGTCGCCAATGTAGTGACCAAGCAGAGACAGCAGCTCCAACAACAAGAAGGTTTATTTCAAGCGATAGCGCGGCTTAAATAGTTCAGCGCCGATGCTTATCGACGCTTAAGAGAAGGAAAGAGAAGGAAAAGCGCACGCTCGCCTGCCCGTTCTGCACGTCACCGCACGACGTCACTTGTCACGATATCACACCGCCGGCTTGTCGCTGGTCCTGCGCGTCACCGCACGACGTCACTTGGCACGATATCACATTTATCGTTCCGTAATCCAGGTAGCGATAAGTTATATTGGCTTTCTGGGTAGGGTATTGACGTGGTTGTGGGATTGAAACCACCCGCCTGACGACAGTCGAGGGATTGGAGGCGAGGACTGCATGAGCACTCGACTTCGGCTCTTGACAATCAATGCCTCGGCGGATACTCGGGTAGGGGCTCGTGTCCCACCACTGCGGTGATGGGAAGAGCCGAACTCGAACAATGCCCGGAGCTGAGCACGCGTGTTCAACTTTGCCGACCCCAGCGCTTGGTTATGATTAACATTGGCGGCATAGAATAGTCAACAGGCCACGTGGCCGCTTGTTCCGGCTCCGACTTGACGGAATGAACGATGCTCATATTTCTCGAATTAATCTTCCCAACTGCCATTCCTTAAAAAAAAAAAAGGAATAAGGCAATTTTTTCTTGTTATTAACAATCGTTTCATAGCACCTTTAACCGCAATAAAGTTACCCTTAAAAAAAAAAAAAAAAAAAAAAAAAAAAAAACTGAAAAGGTTTTTGAGAAAAAAAGAAAAAAAAAAAAAACGATTTAGAGGTGAATTCTCGAGTATTTTTATCCCGTGAATCTGAATATCACGTTCGCTTTCCCCAGAAAATGTTACTAAACGCGAGAAAACACGAAAAAACCTCCGACCACTCGTCATAAAAGGATCTTTCGGCCGCCGAGCGGGTGGGGCACGTGTGGGCGGCGTATGCAACTGCAAGCTTGCAAGGTATATTTAACCCGGACTGACATTCGTGACGTCTTTTTCTGACTTTTGTTTTGGAAATAGCAAGAGTGCGCGTGCGTAGCTTTGATTGTCGCTGAAGGTGCGCGAGAGCGGAGATTCCGAAAACTCCTTTTACGACGTAACACTCCGGGAAGGAGGGGCTTCAACGGTACTTTGAAAGTGATTTTCTGCAACCTCCGTGCACCAAATTAAAAAAAAACAAAAAAAAAACAACAACAACTACAATGATATTTGTGATCTCGGAGGCCAAATTTAGATGATTTAAGAGTTCTTATTTAAAAACAGAACCGCTCGAGTTTCCCTTTAACTGCTGTTACACTTCACCACAGTTACGCCATGACTATACACGAACTCATCTCTGTTACGTCACGGCGCGGTGGTGGCGCGTCGGTCGCATTTCCGGTCTGGGGCTGTGGGCAGAAGTCCCCATGCCAGACGTGTATTCCTGCGTTGTTTTGAAGAGAACCAGACAAAAACCTGCCTTCTCGTCAAAACGCCGCGACTGGGGCCGTACCAAAAGTGTCGAAAAAGGTTTGAAGGTCAGTTTTCACGTGCTCGGTTCGTCCGAGAATATGGATATGTGCCGTAAAAAGGGAAAAGCAGACGCCGCCGGACAACGATTGCTTGGGTGGGAAGCACTTTGGGTTGAATTCACGGATAGCTGTGATCATCAGATTTATTTGTTTTGTTCCAACATGAACGCCAAAAAACCGTCAAGTTGTGCGGACCACCTGCGGACTACGTTCAGTGCGTCTTCAAGTTCAAACGGCCACCTGATCGTTCGACCTGTCGTCTGCTCTTTCAGACGTGTCTGCTTGTCGTCTGCTCTCTCAGGCGACGCCGGCCTGTAGACAGAATCTTGGCCCGGAACTTGCGATAAGAAGTAATGCACGTCTCAAAAGACCTAAATTCGAAGGTTGGTGAGCAGGCTCGATGTAAACAGTAGATACAAGGAGATGTTGATCATTGTTTGACCATCACCGACTCGCTAGGCCTGATTCGCATGGTCCGATTCTGCTTTAGATTTTCAGTATCGACGTCGACCATCTCAGCTTCGGTTCACGCTTTTGCAGCCCGAGCGACGTTGCGACTGAAAATAGCGAGCGAAATCTCATCATGCGAATCAGGCTTTAGCGTACATTCTGCGGCGTCCACGCGGAATGAATCGCGGCATGTCACATTATTGACGCGAAGTTTTGCGGTGTAACGAGCCTTGTAAATTTCGCTGAGGCCGCTCAAGTAGTCAGACATTGCCAGGAAGACGTAGAATCAACAATTCGAACGCGAAAAAGGGCAGGGGGACTCACACAGACGCCGATAACATCGCATTTTTATGGTTTGTTTATGGGCGACGGCGAGCGTCTTGCCCACACCCCCATCGCACATGCGCGGCGCCGGTGGCGTCCGCTAGAGGCGTTCCGGGCGCTCCGGTTTGTTTGTAAACATGAGTTGGTGTATACGCCTCGCAAGTGGGCTCATTTTCGTCTTCTGCGCGTGAGAAAGAAAGTAGCGGTGACGTCAGAACGCCGAGCCCTGATTGGCTGATCGCGAACCCCTATTACGGCGTCGTCTGCTCGCAACATCGTCTGCGTCTGTCTTACCTTTCCTGCGACTTTCGGAAGTGCAGGTCCTTACGAGCGAGCTCGACTTCGCCTTTCAGGGAGGGCAGACGAAATAACTCGAGCGGTACGTTGTTTTTGTCTAACAACTAGCAGACGAGCATCAAGGAGGGAAGTCAATGGACTCACTGCCGAGGTGTCCCGAGGCCTTGAGGATTGTTTGCTAAGAACCGAGAGTGACCGTGTTAGTGTCCGCAAGTTCCCTCCCGAATACTTTTCCCCCCTTTCGTGTGCGGCAAGACCCCTCATTCTTTAACGGCGTCGGCGGGTTGGCGCAGAGAGTCCCCGTTGTCTCGGGGAACAAGGAGATAACAAGAGGAAGAAATTGACCTCTTAATCAAAAATTGAGGTCAGCGATCAAAGGATAATACGGAAAGGGTTCACAAGGGTCGCGCGGGCATCTTCCATTCAGCACGCCAGCCGGTCGTGGGCAGACGGTCGCCGAGTCGCGGAGTGCATGCTAGGCCTAACTGCGGAACTCGCTTAGTCGAGTTCGGTGGAATCGTGGCCGTTGGAGCTTTTCCCGGGTGTTTGTGGATCCAGCGTTCTTGTTAGTCGTGGTCTGTTTCAAGTACTTTTTACTTTTTTTCTTGCTGCTTGAAGTCGGGACGCGTGATAAGCGCACATAGAAAAATAAACGTCCGTGGATCGTCGCGACCGCGACGCTGTCGGCCATGCTGATTTGATCGTAAGAAGTGCTTAAGACAGCTTTGGAGCTGCGGTAGGATTTCGTCGTAACCTGCGCAAAACTTACGAAAATTTCGTTTCGCGAATACGAATTTGTTTTTAAGTTTTGTCTTACGCACATTTTTGGCGTAAGATCGTTTCGTGAACCTGGCCTCTGCACTTCCGAAAGTCGCAGGAAAGGCAAGACAGACGCAGACGACGTTGCGAGCAGACGACGTTGCAAAGGAGCAGACGACGCTCCGATAGGGGGACGCCATCAGCCAATCAGGACTCGGCGTTCTGACGTCACCGCTACCCCCTGCTCAATAAGCAGATGAACTTGCCCTCCGCATAGGAAGTATTCACTGGCGGCCATAGCTGTGTGCGCGACTGCTGAGCGCGTGCTGATGGCGATCTTCCACAGTTCTTTTGTAACGTGCATTCCGCACCCTCAAGATTGTCGGTCTTAGCAGCCCAAGCGCACGTGAGCCCATAGCTTTGACTGCATAGCTATAGAAAGTTGTCCACGAATAAAGTGTGGAAACTGTGGTTACGCATATACTGCAATTATGTGTGCCCGCGTGTAACTGGGGTACAACGGACTCAAGTTTGACTACGCTTGAGTACGTTGAGGGAAGTCCTTTCAAGACACGGCCTCGAGTAAAAAGTACACAATCACATCGCATAAAGGTGGATCGAGCAGATAGACCGATCTCACCATGGCCTCTCGGAGGCCATGATCTCAGCAGCCAGTTTCGCTGTGTCACCGCTGATGGCATCCGTCGAGTGGGAACTGTAGTTTTTCAGCGCACGCGTCAACTCCGCTGCGGGTCTGCGCGAGCAGTGCACGAGACGACACGAGCAGGTCTTGTACACTGACACCTGCCTCCTTTAAACAACATTTATGGCGGCGTCACGCTTGCGGGGAACGCCTTGTGAGATCGGCCTATATTCAATGGGTAGCTCGGGGAATGCGGCGTATGAAGTTGGGATATTGTTCCGGGAACCCTCAGGTATCTCCAAGTAACCTGGTACTAAAGCGCAACGAAAACGCTGCTACGTGAATGGGCCCTTACGGTGCAAGGACGAGATAAAATATCTTGTGACGTCACGGTGACGTTGTTGACACATCATTCGTTGACACGTGAACGTGATGTGTCAACGACTCAAATGTGGGCGACTGCAGTGATTATGCCTGAAGAAATCTGGAGCGGCGACTTTCCCACAAAGCCACAGAAAGAGCTAATTAGGCTTACGCGTAGTATCAACCTCGTCATTTGCCAAGATCCCTCCGCAGCTTGCATGCGATTGGCTCTAGCAGGTGTTTTGCGGGAAAGTCGACGCTCAAGATTTCTGCGATAGTGAGAACAGCGCCGTGAGGGTAAGAACAGCGGGGCGTCTCCATTAGATACCTTGCCTCCGACAAAGTGTTTCCGAACGTGTACGAAACTCGCGCTGGTGGCGAGACAACTGAAATACCTCCCTTTCGTTCTTATCCCGGCGGTGACTGTGGGGAGCGTAAGGTCGTCTGCTTCTCGCGGAGGGGTTGCGGTGAAGTCAGACCCTCAAGCTCTGATTGGCTCCGATTGGAAGGATGGTGGGTAGACCTCAAGGCAGCCATAGCACTGTCGTCGTCTACCCACTATCCTTCCAATCGGAGCCAAT